AATTCTGTTATGTCACAGAGTAGAAAAGGAGAAGACTGGTGCTGCCATCTATTGGCATGGTACCCTCAGTGTGGGCGCCGGTATATGTTATATACCGATTTTAAAATCGCATAATCTGTTAATTATCACTTCTGACTGAAATGAACTAAATATATAAGATTCAGCATGTGTACGTGATATATTTGCAGATTTTGAATTTTTTCTTTCCCTTAAATAGAATTTATCAATCTTCCAACATGATACCTTGGAACGAGGTATATTAATTTCATAACTGTAAAATATTGAGCATTCATAGGTGATGTTGCCATTTAGAATCGAAAGAAAACACTAGACACTTACGATTATAACTTTTGGTGTAGAAAAATTAGCATTTTTTCAGAGGTTAAAAAATTGACAAACAACCGGTATATATTATATACCGGTGCCCTTCAAAGGGTTAATAATACTATATGATAAACTAATGTCACTGGCATAAAGCTGAAATGGTACAAAAGGAAAATCAGGAAATTCTACAAAAAGCTCTTGAGCAAGTATCCTCAAGCAATTTAGCTATAATTATAAAAAGAATAATAGTCACAGAATTTAATGACATTTTGAAACAATCTGTTTCTTATACGACGAACTGGCTTTAAGCAGTTGCTTCATGGGTCCAATAAATAGTTTAACCACAGATGATTTAGATAACTTAATTTCAGTTTAGGCTACTTTTGTAGATTTTAAACATATGAAAGGTATAGTGGATAAATATTGCTAATAGCTGAAGTAAATGGTAACAGGGTTTCTTGGATTAAGTTTTTCTTGGCTTAGACATGACTTCTTCAAAGAATGACAATTCAAAATTTTTTTCAGGTGCAATCTTGAGTAAAGAATCAAGTTTATTCTGTTTACAGATGATTCTTATTGGAAGGAGTAATATTAAGGCGGTCTGAATAATTCTTAATGCAGAGCACTTACTGTTTACAGAACTGAAGTACAGACAATGAAATGACCATAAACAAAGTTACAGCCGAAAACATCGCGGATTAAGTCAAGAGTGTGCACAATGCCATTTTTTTGCAATTCTAGGATGGTTTTTTAAGTAAAAATAAGTCGACGTGTACATGGTTACTGTGTATGCGAGATTTTGAAAAACGCGGTAAGGAGTTGGCGATTCTGCACTTTTTCCCAATTTTGCAGTTAATATTTGTCATGATTAAGCAGTTTTGTTTCATAAAATTTCTAGCATAAGTGTAATTCAGCTAGCAGATTGCTGGAAAAAGTGTTGAGTAAATAAAAAGAAAAGAAACATGTCTTTACTTCGTGAAGACAAAATGGCGGCGAAAAAAAATAGAGGGTTGCTGTAGCAGAGTTGGTCGCCAAATGTTCGCCAAGTTACCATAATCCAAAGATTAACCCAATCTACTAGCCGAATTACGTTTATGCTAGAACTTTTATGGCACAAAAGTGCTTAATCATGACGAAGATTAGGTGCGAAATTGGGAGAAAGTGCAGAATTGCCCACTGCTTGCCGCGTGTTTAAGAATTGCACATACACGGTATCATCCATGTACACGTCGACCTATTTTCACTTAAAAAAACATCCCAGAATTGCACAAAAATGGCATTGTGCACACGCTTGACTTTATCCATGTACACTGCTAAAGTCCTAGCTAGTAACCTTTATCGCCTTACCAAAATGTCGCCAAACTACCTGTTACCATATTCCAAAGATTAGGCGATTAAACTGTTATGAAGGCCACAGTGTAAGTCGAATCTTGTCTAAACTGGCATATTAAGCATATAACAATCAGAATGGAAAAGGAATGATTTGTGAAGAATACGGCTGGTTCGTTATCTGACCTACAGCGACAAAATGCAATTCGGAATTTTTCCCACAAAATGCATTCTTTAATTTATTTAGAGTATATACACTTACAATATTTATAATACTAGAGAAAAAACTGTGCTGAATCTCTATTTTTCATAGATCAAAAAGAGAAATGAGAGAAAGATTCTTTTCCTCTATAATACACTTACAAAAGCAACTCATTTTTCAGAAAAGTTACTTATTTTGTTTTGCACTATAGGTATAATTAGGATTTACAGATGACTTACTAGCTATATGAATAGTAATAAGAAAATATGAAAATGTTCAAAACTAAACTCTTCACTACAGTTGTAAAAAATACACACCTGCCTGCTACATATCACCCGAGATGAAAAGAAGAGTTTTACTTTATCAGAAACTTGCTAAAACTTCTAGTGATGGGATTCAGGATGCTTTGATTGCCAAAAATGACAAAGTATTGTTGAATCAGATGCTGCTGCTCCTCATGAATATCATTTATGAAATTTAAGTTTTTTCCTTAGATTTTAATTTATACATCAATGAAAAGGAAATAAATTCTGAATAAATCTGTGACATATTAATGGCGACTAGAAATCTTCACCCAGATTATCTAAGCTAATTTGGTTTATTTGATTACGGCAAACCATTCAAAAGCTGTCTAAAGTGAGAGATGTCTTCACAGAAGGCCTGTATCCACATTACACATGAAAACAACCATGAAAATGTCCATGCTGAAAACAGCCATGAATAGCTTTGGAATCAAACCTAGCCAAACTACTAGCATTCAACAACTTTACTACACAAACGCTGGTCGGTCAGGTCATCTATGGCTTCAGTGTTTTTAAACATGACTATTTATTAAAGATGAAATTGGTACAGGTATTTTTAGCTTTTTTTTTTTTTTTTTTTTTTTTCCATTCCACATGGAATACATACTACAGTGGAACCCTCGTGAACAAATTTCCGAAATGAAAAGCAATTTCTTTAGATACAAACAAGTAATCTGGCAACAAATTTCATTCCAAAATACAGTTAATGTAATGGAGGAAGTATCAGAAGAATAAAGAAAGGGGAATGTTTTTAGTAACATGATTTGTGAAATTTGTGCAAAGTTTTATAGAATATTATCATCCTGGTGTAGTAAACAGTAGCACAAATATTTGCAATAATGCCATGGCTTCCTTAAAAAAAAAAAACATATCACAGAAGACAAATATTTAAAACAACTAATGCCCAGTGGTTCTTAAGTAGAGGAGAGTGGTGTTAAGAGAAAGAGAAAAAACTACAGAAAGGCAGCAGCTGCCTAAAATTTTTATGAAATAGGATTTCCCTTTAAAACAGCAAGCAGCTTATGTATCAAGCAAGCAGCTTATTTAAACAGCAGCTTATGTATCAAGCAAGCAGCTTATTTAAACAGCAGCTTATGTATCTTCAACTTTCTCACTTTTTTCTACTTATGCCATTAACTTCATAGAGATACAGTAAAATTTAATTCAAGTTTTCTATTTTTTATATCTTTAGTACTGTGTTAAATTTTGTCTATAAGTTTAGATTTAATGAATTTCATTGGTTTTGCAATACAATCTTCTAGAGACAGATTAATTAATTTTATATTAATTTCTATGAGGAAAACCAGTTCATATCCCAGTGAACTTCTCTTGGCTTCAAGGTGGAAAGAAGCCAGTTTACTTTAAAAAGTCATGCCCTTCCATATGCAGAGGTAACTCGATAGCCCTCGAGTTGCTTTGCCATAACCAATTAACTATACTATGAAGAAAATTTTTTTCAGTTTATGAATTATATTCAAGAATGAATAATGATCTAAGGTTTCCCTGTATTGATTTTGATAATAAGATTGATATTATTCACATTGTCTTTCAACAGATGCATAGTCATCAACACAAATTCACTTTAGTAGAGTTCATAACAGCCATTATTTTCGTAGATTTAAAATTTGCTCTGAAAATCATTTCTACATACAACTCTAAAATTATGCATTGCAGAACTATCTTAAATAAAATAAGAATAGAGTTTATAACGAGTCCTGTATGCTGCATTTGTGCTGAAACGATATAGCCAACTTCTTGGCAAAAAGAGCCACTACCAGTTTTCAAAGATCTATCTCTTAACTCTACCAGATTCCTTGCACAAGATAAGTGATAATAGGGTCGTAGAAAAAAATGGAGCCTACTCGTTGCAGGAAAAGACACTGCTTTCGAATGCTTTCATTCTGCAGTGATTATTTTTGAAAGGACACAAAAATCTACCAGATCATTCATTCAGCTTAGTCTATTCTTATCTTTTATACTATTATAGTCTATTCTTATCTTTTAGTTTTGTGTACATCTAAATAAACTTTTAAAGCTGAAATTTTGCACATATGCATTGCACTTCAGAAATATAGCTAAACTACTCAAAAAGACAAGAAAGCTCGAGAGCTGATATAATAGTCCAAGAACTCAACATTTGCAAACAACAAAATTCTTGATTTTATTTTGAAAAACTTATAGCTGAAAGTATCTGCAAGACCAGTAATGTAAATTTATGGAAACAAAGCCTGTAGCCCTCTTTTTAGAATATCACCTATAATTTTTGTTTATGAAATAACACAAGTAAACAAAACACAATGTTGATGGAACATCAATACAGATATTCATCCAGCAGATCCAATAATGTCTGGCGCATATGTGGACATAATCCCTGGGCAAATACAATGTTAGCAATATTTTTTTACATTTATCGCAGCACATTTTTTGCCCACATGCACATTTCAGGTATGCATTCGTAAAGTGATTATACTGTTACAGAACACTATACAGATTCACATATTTTTCAAATTTTAACTTCAAAATATTCAGTAAAATTAAGCATTTTACTCAATATGTGTTGCAAAGGGAATATGGATACAGAATGCAGACATATATGAATGTAAGCACAATGCAGAATATTATTATTAACAATATAACTAAATGTGAGAACACCAAAATACGAATTTCTTTTAAATTAATGCCAAAACAGAAACACCGAAATGGAAATATAAAAGGAGAGTAGGTCTTGCAAGATCAATGCATTTCTTCATTCAGCTGCTCTTCAGCAGCACAGAAAAGAATAGAAAGTTACGATAAAGCTCCCTCAGATAGCAATATACATAATCATAAATGCAACATCTTACCTGTCCTGCCACACCAGCTCGAGCTGTTAGAATCTGTGGGGCAGCTGCTATCCTAACAGGATTTGTAGCAAGCATCACCCGAGGTGCTAATGTTTTTTGGCCAGCTAATCCTTGAACTCCCAATCTAGGATTTACATTTACAATTTGAACACCAGGTGTGAGAAGACTTGGATTAGTAACAACTTGTGAAACAACACTAACAGGCTGACTAGTTGTTACAAGACCTTTTGATACAACTGTCGGATTGTTTACTTGTATCACATTTGTGCCCATTTGATGCATCACAGTAGTTTGAACAACAGTATTTGGTACAGATATAGTATCCTGAGAACGTGTGCTTACAGGTGGTTTCCCACTTTTGTCAGTCAGTTTGGAATCTGGCACAGATTTTGTGGCATTTTGCTTACCATTGGCAATGGTTACTTGAACCTGTGAAGTAGTTGCGGTACTAGTAGTATTACACGTATTGGAAGTAACTATCGGAGACTGCTGTGATGCTACATTAGCTAAGTCATATATTGCACTCATGGAAGGTGTCTGGTTTGGTCTAACATTGATCAATCCCATATTACTGGGGCTATCGTTTGGCATCGAAGCAGCTGCTGCTGCAGCAGTTTTACTCCGTGTATTTATTGTGCAAGTGGAATTTATTTGAGAAACGACAGACTGAGATGTATACACCACTTTTATCTCTTGACTGTTCGTAGACCTGTTTACAGTAATGTTTCCACTAACAGGAGAAAAGAAAGATTGCTGAGATCCTGTAACTTGTGTAATATAACCACTTGCTGGTAATGCACCAGGTAAAGTAGCAAGAACATTGCTTGTATTAGTTGTAACAGTAGAAGAAGCACTTGCATCTCCGATTTGAGACGCAGAAACAGCAGATTTGCCCACATTTATCAAAGATACGGCCTGACTTACAGCAATGACACCTTGTTTTTGTCCATCAAGCAACCGTGTTACATTGTCATCGACTAGTACAGCATTATTAACATGATTTACAGTTACAGAAGTTGTATTTACATCTTGACTAGACAACTGAATGTTTGAGGATGCTAATTGGGATTCTAATGAGCCGACAAGCGCAGTAACAGCTGATTCATCCACTGCGGAAGTCAGCATATCTTCCACTGAATTCACAGTCGCCATTTTCCACAGCACTAAAGTAATAAATAAGAAGCGCATGCGCTTTCGCAAAGCATCATGGGCTTACAGTTAAATTTGTGCAGTTAAAGTTTGTTTTCAAGACAGAGAAACAAGCGCTAAAGTAAAGGAGTGTAATGAAGGTAAAAAATTCATTACTTTGTTCTCTAAATAAAAATATTAAAACTTTTTCTACCTTAAATATTTTAGAAGAGTTGTAAATAAGATGAAGCTGTCTTTTAAAAACAATGTTTTTTAAATCGCATGGCATCAAATTGTACGATCGGATTGGCAATACGTCAAAATTGCGTCATTCTGGTTCGGTATTCGAATGTAGTTTTTGAGTTTACTTACTGTACTACTTTAGGAAAAAAAATGTTTTTTTAAATTTTAAAACCTTAATACATGCTTATATGTGTAACAAGTTCACATATTAAATTTTTGCTGAATGTTCATAAACGAAATTTGCATAATACTGCAGCAAAAACTGCAATAACAACGTAAAAAGGCTGGCTCAGACGTCTCAAATTGTTTTCAATAGATTTGGAGTGCGGTAATTGTGCTGAAATAATAGCTAGTTTATTTCTTCCGACATGACTACAGTTCCATACCTGGGAAGTAAAATAAGTTTAATTTCGAAGTCGGAAATTCGATATGAAGGCATACTATATACTATCGATACCAAAGAGTCCACTGTCGCTTTAGCTAAAGGTAACCTTTAATTTTTTTTTTTTTTTTTTTTTTTTTTTTTTTTTTTAAAATTAGAACATGTAATGATGAGTTATATTCTCTCTCTTCTGGGATGTTTTAAGAATTCTTTGTTGGTAATTTTCAATGATGTTTATCCGTATTACTGCTTAAGCTTGACTTCACTAACAGTTAACATGTGAATATTGATACTAAATAATTTCTAAAATTGTATATAAACGCATAAGTATTCAGTAGTTTTTTTTAAACACGTGGACTTTCAGTCAGTCTTAAAAAAAAAAAAAAAAAAAAAACGAAAGTACATGTTCTTGATTTTCTTACATGACTCCCTTCCTTTTTGTTTCTTTGGGAATATAATTTAATTTGAAACTGTTCTATCTTTTTTTCAAACGTACTTTTTATTTTTCGTACCTTTACCATTAGTGTGGAAACTGAATTTTGAGATATCTCCCCTTCCTTTTTTTAAAATTTTATTTAGTAAGGTCATTTGGTACAGAAGGTCGCCCTACTGATAGGCCAGTGGCTCCAAGAGATGAAATTTATGAGTATATTATCTTTCGTGCCAGTGATATTAAAGACCTTCATGTTTGTGAGGCACCAAAATCTCACCATACCCTCCCTCATGATCCAGCGATTGTCCAGGTAAGTAGAAGCTTTATTTTATCTGTAATTATAGTATGATAATAGATAAAATACCTAAACAACCAAACAATCAAATCTCGTGTTTGAAATCACTTTTAGTATGCATTTGCGTACGATATCTTCAGTCGAAATTTTATTTTACTGAGGAACTAGGTCTTCAGTTGACTGCCTTTAAATGATTTTATTTAATTCTTTTAATATTTTGTGATGGTTTTCAATATAGCATTTATGTATGTTGTTTTAAATCTATTGCATATTGTAATTAATAGTTCAATTTTTCCTGTATTTAATATTTAAATTTTATTTAAAGATTAATTTTTAATGAACTAAATGTACTTAAAGTATATTTCTTGCTTTTTATTTAAAATTGTATTTTATTGGAAATTCTGAAGAAAAGAATCTGGTAATTAGGAAGGAATTTCTTAAATGTCCATTTTCAGATGTCTGTGTTTCTAAAATATAATTTTATTTCAATATCTTTATTATGCTGCAGAGCAAAAATATTTATTTCTCTTTTACATAAGCAGGTAATTTAATAATGATGCTAGGATTGATTATGGGACATTCTAAGAATGTTTTTGATCATTTAATTTTAAGAGTTGCTGGAATGCTTGAAAAATATTCATCTAGGTCTTGTCTTTAAGTCCTTTAGTTCCTCGGATGATCTAAAGTAGGAAATTTCGTAAGAATTCTTTCTTGCATGTTTATAAATTGGAGTATGAATTCCTGAAAATGGTAAAGCATGTATTCAGTTATTTTTATTGTCGTAGTTTTATGCTTTCTGGAATATGAACTATGAATTTTTGTTTCCGTGATGCTCTGTTAATCTTGTGAAATTTGTAAGCAATTTGTATTTTGTTGCTTGAAATATTTATTTTCTTTAACAATTTAATCAGCATTTGATAAATGAATTAATTATATATATCAAGCTAATAAATGTAAACATGGCTTCTCATAAATGACCTTAAAAAAAAAAAAAAAAAAAAAAAAACCCTGACTTTTCAGACAAGTGAAGTGTTTTTGACTTGATATCGCATTAAAACTTTATTTGGCTAAAGTGCAGGATCGCCCACATATTTGATTGGTGTTTGTTTGGTGCTTTTTACAAGAGTAAGAAGAAATAGATTTTTGTCAATTTTCTTTGACTTTTTAAATAGGTCAATATGTACATGGATGAAGTCAAGAGAGTGCGCAATGCCATTTTTGTGCATTTCTGGGATTTTTTTTTTTAGTGAAAATAGGTCGATGTGTACATGGTTACCAAGTGTGTGTAATTCTTAAAAACGCGCCAAGCAGTGGGCGATTCTGCACTTCCCCCTTTATTTTATATATAGAAAAACATGTGATGAACTTTTATAATAATAGTAAATAATGCTTCATAAATATTAAATTTTTTTGTCAGTACATATTAAACCTTATTGTCAAAAATTTGACTAATAGAAATAAAATATGTATAAGGTTATTTATATATTTTATTTATTAATCAAGTTTTTGAGAATAGGGTCGTGTGGAATTTATGGTCGTATTTGCTTTCTGTATTAAAAAAATGCTTCAACGGATTGTAAGAAAAAAAAAAAAAATGTTTCAGATCTTTTACTTTGCAGTATATGGTTCAATCGTTAAAATTAGAATTGTGAATTTTTCTCTTTACCACTTGGTTATGAAAAATAACATTGGCTTTCATTTTTTACATGTTGCAATAGTTGTCATTTTAATCTTTTTGTAATAATTTGTAACTACTATAGTTATTAAAATTTTCTTTTATGTCTGTTTCCAGAAATGTTTCATATTTGTGAAATAATTTGCAGTTATTAGTGTGGGTCATAGCTAGAGGGGGCAAGAGGGGACACCATCCAGTGGACGCCCAATTGATTTTTAGATTGAAATATTTTCCACTCTTGGCAAACAGAAGGGACACGAGATTGTCAGTGTTCCCGGGCACAAAAAGACCTTATTTCATTCATTTATATATTTTGTTAGAGTTGGCGTTAAATAACACAATTAACGGCTTAAAGTATGTTATATTTAATATTATTTAATACTAAGAAGTAATGTTTTATCAAATACTCATGCATTAATATTAGATTGTTATATATTAAAAGTTGTGAGAAAAGTTCAAGAAATAGACAATACAACTATAAGTGCCATATAAAGTATTGTCACAAATTTAAATTATAATATTTTTCATGACACGTTTCTCATTTCACTTCCGATTTAATTTCTTATTTACACTTCTATTCAGCACATTACTGCCTGTTCAGCATGTATATTCATTCCCAGTTGTAATTAATCCATCTAGGGTGCAGATAAGAATAGAAGTACTAAGTTTTCTAGATCAAAATAATATCAACAACTCAGAATTTTTAGGGCTATTTTTTTTTCTTCATGTTTCATAGAAAGTAAAAATCGTACGAGGAAAAATTAACATGTTTTACTGCTAAAAGAATACCAAAAAAATAATAAATTAAATTAAAAATTTTAAAAAAATAATCTGAAAGTTTTCAGATTTTAAATTACGTCCAGAAAGGCGTTTTTTTTAACGTTTTGTATGTTACCTTTATTTATTATCATGCCCTTTGCACTTGAACCATAAAATTCAGTTCAACAGCAATGTGGCAAAATAATTTTAAAATGAGCCTATACTTAGAATTTCCATACATCTACAGGGTAAGTTCCATACAACTACAGGGTTCCATACACCTAAAGGGATAAATACAATAAAATGGTATTGACCAAGAGTTGTCCTATTAACAGAGCATTAATAGGACAGCTCTTGGTCAATACCATTTTATTGTATTTACCCCTTTTATTTCAACTTTAATTTTGTAAAATCTTTTAATTGGTGTAATGTGTTTTCCATGCTTCATCTCGAAGATTTCATTCTGAAAAATGAGGGTTTTTCAATAAAAGCATTGATTTCGGATGGTTTCTAACATTTTTCTAATTATGGTAGCCATCTTTCAAAGATCTATTGAGGAAATATTCAACACATCTGTAGTATTTTACTTAGAAACTGTTATGTAAAGTCTGTTATTAAGGAAAAGAGAAGGATTTATAAATCGGCCATTAATGAAATAGCAACGTACGATTTAGAACTGATCATATACTGTGAATATAAGTTATTCAACCTGAACAATAAAACATTGTTTCATTGTATAATGCTAAAATAGGTGTTAAAAAAAAGGTAATACAATAAAACGGTTATGGTATAAATTATGATATATATTTGTTGGGATGGCAAACTATAAAACAGTGAACTTTGTATAGAACTTTTTGAAAGTTATGCTAGAAACATCTTTTTGCATAAGTGAGTGAAAATGGAAAAAATTTGATGTATAATGTATAGTACAAAGTCTGTAATCCGGACTCATCTGGACTTCGGCGATTCCGAATTGGGGGTTTTTTTCCGGATTGTAGATCAATTTAAATCTGGTAAGATAACATGCAGAAATAATACAATTAAAGTATGAAACTGTAATTTATGAAATAAAGAGCAATCGTGATTTAAAGGATATCAAAATTTACAAAAAAAAAAAAAGCCTTATATTTATTTGCTTTAGTAAACATTTGTCAATGTAAGTTGTTTAAGTTGCTTCGTTTTTTTGGTGGTAATACTTCCTCTTTAATTCTATAAACAGACGTAATTTTTTGTTCAGTTGCAAAGTTCCACTGTTGAAGTCCTGCAATTGCTGTGTCGAGAATACCGACTAACTTGTCAATTGAAATTTTTTCATTTTCAATAACCTCTGTCACTTTCTTCACTATCGGAAGCGCACATGCGTAGCGGACACGCACATTAAATGCGCATGCATAAGTTTGTGGCTTTGAGGTCTGGATAATGGACGCTCGGATTTCGGATTTTGTACTATATTGCATTTTAATAAGTGTTTCCTGCCACCTCAAATATAGTCTGCATAAACATTTTGTATTGGTGTGTTTAATAATAATATTTTGTCTAATGATTTTCGGCATTTGAAAGAGACTTGCTTTAAAAATTTGTATTGTGAAATTTGTAAAAAAAATATCGTTAAGTACAAGTTGTCCGAAATGAAACTATCACACTACCAGATTAGAACAGTCATTTTTTTCCAGTTCTGTTGCAAAACGTTCACAACAGAATGTTACCAAATCACGCGTACAGCTTGAGGCACTAATGTTATATCATATGACACTGTGAAGGTTTGGTTCCGAAAGTTAAAAAACAAAGATTATGATATTAACGCTAAGGCCGTCCTACACATTTTGTTGAGGCTCGCCTGTGATCACTCGAGAGCTTGCCAAGGAGTTAAATGTTAGTGCCATGTCTATTGTACTATGCATCTCGTAAACTTAATGTATAAATTCAACCACTGGGGGCTGTGTAAACTGACTCAAACAGATAAGTACAGACGTTATTTTCAAGCCTGTACTAATCTGCTTGAATATCGATGCAAGGATGAAATTCTGGATCCGATCGTCACTGGTGATGAAAAGTGGATTTACTTCAACAACACAGGCTGAAAGAGGTGTTGGTCGCAGCCCAGTAAACCCATTGGCAGCATTGCAAGGCACAATTTGACTAAAAAGATCAGGCTTTGTATCTGATGGGATTGCTGTGGTATTGTAAACAAATGGTATATGGAAAAAGGTAAAATTCTTGACAGTAAGATGTATAGCGAGATGCTAGTCCATGTTGATGCTGCTGTCAAGGAAAAACATCGAACTGAGTTATGGTGTAAAAAGATAAGGTTCTATCAAGGTAATGCAAGATGGAATGTGTCTACTTTCACCAGTTGGACTCTGTATGGACTTGAATAGGATCCTTTGCTACACCCACCACATATCTCCAATATTGGTTCCTCGAACTTCTATGTTTTTCCCGCCTGCAGTTATGTCTTGCTGATGTGATCTTCCATTCTGCTCAGGATGTCCAAAATGAGGTTGATTTGTTTTTTGGAGTAGTGTTCCAAGTTTCGGGACCAAAAACCTTTAAAAAAAACTACCCAAACTTTGGCAGAAAG